TAGCTTTTTGTTTATCTCCAGAGATACCTGGAGCCATCTTACTTTCCTTGGCCAAGATAGGAATGGAATGTAGTAGCTAGTGGTATGTAATGTGCTGTTTAAAGTCTGAAACTCCCCTGAATGCATTCTGGACTAGCTTGTCTACATTGTTTATTAAGAATATATGTATTGATAATGTGCACCTGTTTTACCTTGTTACATAGCCTGGTTTTGGCTACAGGACCAGTGGGCTATAAAAGACCCGTAGGTGAAAATGGAACCCTTGTGCACTGTTGGTGGGCATGTAAACTGGTATAACCGTGCTGTAAAACAGATGGAGGTTCCTCAAAAACTTAAAGATAGAACTACCATATGATCTAACAATCTCACCCTGGGTATATATGCAAAGGAAATGAAATCAGTATCTCAAAGAGAAATCTGCACTTCCGTGTTCATTACAGCATTATTCACAACAGTTGAGACATGAAAACAATCTAGTACCATTCAATGAATGGACAAAGAAAATGTGATGTATATAGAATATTATTCAGCCATATAAAAGAAAGAACTCCTGCCATTTGTGACCACATAGATGAACCTAGAGGGCATTATGCCAAGTGAAATAAGCCCATATATCATTTACACATGGAATCTAAAGCAGAAAACAAAAATCCCAATTTTGTAGAAATAGGGAATAGAATGGTGGTTGACAAAGGCTGGAAATGGCAAGGAGGAAGAAATGAGATGTTGATTAAAGGGTACAAACTTTAAGCTATAAAATGAATAAGTTCTGAGAAACTATTATACAACACAGTGTCTATAATTAATAATAAAGTATGGTATACCTGAACATTGTGGAAAATACATCTGAAATGTTCTTACCACACACACACCAAAAGAATTAATTATGAATGATGGATGTGTTAATTACCTCGGTCTTGGCAATCATTTCACAATGTGTATGCATAGCAAACCATCACATTGTGCATTTTAAATATATACAATTATATTTTGAAATTCTTAACAAATCAGGAAAAACAAAATTAGAAAAGTCTTAAATCTAAAAATATATAAATATATATAAGATAAACTTTTATTCTGAAGATGAAGTACATTCGATGCAACTGAGGGAGCAGTGAAGTTGAATCTGGTTGTTCAGGACTGATTGGAAGTTGCCTTATGCTTTCTTGCTGCTGATTCTATGTATCCTTTGTCCATAGGAAATCTTTCTGAGTCAACCTTGGTAGAGTCTAGTGAATCTTTTAAAATTTCTGATCCAGTGTAATTGCTGCACAAAGGAAAAATCTCAAAGTCTTCTTCTTGACCCTCTCTTACTATAATAACCTTGATTTTATAGGTCAGGTGGTCACTAAAAAATCCTGCCACAAGGGGAATAACCATAGCGTGGGCTCAATGACTAGTAGGCCTATTTTAGATTTTTTAAAAACACAGTCAATTTGACTTAAACCTGTTAATAATGGTGTTCTTGGTCTCTAAAAATTAGCATTAGCTCAGACTTAGTGTCCAGTGGCCAACAACCCAAAAGTTTTGTTATCTACTCCTTTCCCCAGAGCAGTTACTGGCATAAATAAAAACGGTTATCTTTGAGGGAAAAAAGGAGAAAAAGTCACAGTGTGCACTTTCAGTGTTATTTCTGGACCCCAGGTACAATAGCTTTCATTCAAGGGGATGTTGGTTTCATCTCCCAGTGTAATGAAAGACCAGTAGTCCCTCCTCTCTAGTATGGTAACCCAAGCCAGGCCTCTGTTTATCTGATTTAGAGATCTTTTTCCTTCTTTTCTCATGCAAATCAGTTCCAAGTAAGAGAGTTACCTATTAGTTTGCTTCCTAGCAGTGTCATGACCAGTGAATCATAGCCACAGATCTCTGCCGTTCTGATGAACACAGTGCCATGGCTGAATGTTACAGTATACACAGTCTCCCACTGAAATTTAATAATGTGACCTTTCTGAACCTGGGAACATTGAATCACCATTGAAGTCATGGTACTCGTTTCAATTGTAATATCTCAGCATTTTTAACCTAGGGAAATAAGTTAATAAAGAAATTATAGAGAGTCTATGGCATTTTTCTCTTTAGATCTCAAATCATTGGGAAAATCTTCAAGACTTTCCTAGAGAATATAGTTAGGAGGTGAGACATGTATATGCACCCTAGCATTCCTGTCTCTTTAAATTGAACCAAATATTTTTGCAACTAAACTTTCTTCCCAGTTGGCCAGATATTCATTAACTAAACCAATAACAGTTTAATAAAATATACCTAATCACCCAAAATAGCTAGAGTCTCTGGAAAATATACCCATCTTAAAAAATTTATTCTTTCTGATATTGAATTCCACTCTTCTTGTTCAAACACCCTCAAAATCCATTTTGAAGGACAATGTCCCTATAGTTTTGCAGACATAACCTAGCAAATTCTGTGTGTATGTGTGTGCGTGTGTGTATATACACAAGATTTTCTGGGGTTTCATTTTTTCATTTTTGTCCCCCAGTATATCATTGTATCTACATCTGATTACAGACCTGGATATTATGCAATGTTGAGTAAGAGAAATAACTGTGTTTTTTCTTTAGGGGAACAACTGCAGTCAAATTAACAGTATTTTCAAGCAAGGAAAGAACAGCTACATCAGACAAAGGAGGGAGATTTTCTGAGCAAAAATCTCAGTGGAAATTTGGATGAAGGGTTTTGGATTCAAAAGGCTATTCAAAAGTCTTCTGAATATACCCAGGTAACTCTTTTTACATTGTTAAAGCAGCACTCTTTTCTGATGAATACCCTCAGTTTAGAAGGTATTATTTGATTTTTTTCTAGTATCCAGTGTTAATGATAAGTCTAGTGCCAATTTTATTTTCATGCCTTTGACGTGATCTTGTGGTAAGATCTGTGTCTGGAGTAACAGCCCCAAATCTCAGAGGCCTAAAATGACAATGGTTATCTACTGATTACAATATGTAACTGCAAGGAAAATGAAAGTTCCTGTGACCAGGATCCTCACCTGACCCTAAACTACTTGATGATGTAATTGGTCTACCATGTAGGCCAATGCTTACACACCTGTTGGCAATTATATTATTGTCCACGTTACTACACAAAGGCAAATCAATAATAGCATTCAAACTATAATTGCATTACCTCCCCTTCGTTGCCAGTTCAGGTGGGGAAGGGAGAAGAAGTAATAAGAATTACATATGGAAGAATCAGTTGGAGGACCTCTATCTATCCTGTCATTCACTCAGTTAATTCAAAACATATTTTTGAGCACATGCTATATGCTAATCCCTGTACTATTCCAGGGAATTCATAGAAAAATATGATGGTCTCTGCTTTCAAACAGCTCACAATCTTTCAGAGATTTACTCATTTAAACCAAGCACCACGTAAAGTGATAGTCATATCACATAAAAGAGAGATTACTGCTGTTGAGTAAAACACATGATTAAAACAAGAATGATTCAGAATAATTCTCCTCATGGAAGATTGTGGTATTTGAGATGATTTGCTGTAGTGAAAGGTAGGGTTTTCTAGAGTCCTAAAAGTTTTCCAAAAGGCCCAAGTCTCTAGATAAACTTGTACCTGAAGCTGGCATCCTTTGGTTGTAAGAAACAACCAGTTTCCTTTTTTTTATTGGCTTAAGCCAGTTTAAGTCAGGTTTTCTGTCACTTGTAAACAAAGTTCTCTAACTGCTCTAAGAAATCTAATGTTCAGGAGCAGGAGAAAGAGACTTAGTCAAAGAACTGCCAGTGAAAAAGCAGCAAGCAAGAGGAATAAGCCCCCAAGAGGCAGGAAGGAGGCACCTAGAAAGCCAAGCTGAGAGAGCCTCAGGTGAGAAAGAAGGTGCATGGATTTCACAAACCTCCAAGCAGAAAGGCAGGGAGGATAGAGCAGAATTCACAAAGGTCAAGCAGAATTGCGTTAAGGTGAAGCTGAAAGTAGGAGGTGAACTCCTGAGAATAGAGTGGACCTTGTGATGGGGGAGATCAGGTGGAGCCCCATCACAGGTAGTCCCAATGATCAACTGAATATGTAATGTGAACCTACTCGGTGGAAATAATTTAGTTAATTTGCTGCAGCAAATTAGGTGTTGGAATGAAAGTGTAGCTATGGTTGTTGTGCTTGTACTCCAAATAGAATTGATTTGTGGTTAATAGAATGACTCATGTGAGCAATAGTGCCGGCTCACTCTCTTACAGTGTGTGACAGGACACAATGCATAAAAGTGTCACTTTCCAACACAGCTCTGTTTGAGAACTAATAAGCCCCAAGCCTCCCTCTCTTGCCCTCTACATGTAAGAGAGAACGAGCAAGGAAGCTCACTTCCTTACAGGTGAGAGACAGATGAGGACGGAAGGGTGCTGAAATTAACAGGCTAACATTTAGTTCGTGTACATATAAAACCCTGAGTTTCAGGTAAAAAAAATTTTAAAATAATGACAAGACAGGACTCAGGGAGATTCTATGAAAGAGATCTTGAATTTTTGACTCACCCACAACTCAAAATTGAATTATCTTTCTATAGGTAGAATGGAAAGGTATTTGTGTGGCACAGGGAAAGATGAATCTGACATTAACAAAGGCTGAAGACAAGGGAAATGAATGACTTAGCTAGCTGGATGAGGTGGCACCAGGTCACAGTCATGAATGCCAGCCATACTGAGCTTTTTTCAATCAATCCTGTGGCCAACAGGAAAATGTTCCAACTTATTGAGAATAAAGTGTCATGAGGGAAATGATTCAGGGCGGCACGTTCCAGGAGCTTGGGTTGGGGAAACTAATTTCTGAAAGAGGTCTAACTTGTCAGCAGCCTTGCCCTAAAAGCCTGCTGGGTCTGGAGGCCCCAATCCTCCCTCGGTAGGCCCCGCCCCCGCGCCCCAGTCCGGGAGCTGCCCCTATCCCGACCCCGGTTCAGCCTGGCCCCGCCCCCTCCCGCGCTGCCCCGCCCCCGTCTCTATGGAGACGGCCTCGCGTCCGCTCAGCGGGACTGAGCCCGTCTCACAACCTCCGCGGGAGCAGGGGCAGCGCCTGTGCCCGGACCCTGCCGCTGGCGGGGGACACACCGGCGGAAAGGAAAACCGGAGTTTTTCCCCAGGGCCAGTCCATGGAGGTTCGTGTCGGACTTCACGGCTTCAAAGAGAGGCGGGCTGTTCTTCCCGGAAGCCCCTTCCCTGACCCCCAGCCTGCAGGCTGCGCGTCAGGCCCCCTGGGCCGAGGCCCTCGCTGCTGACCTCAGGAAACCAAGAGAAGGCGGAGCAGGGAAAGGCGCCCCTCTTGGTCCCCAGTTCACCTGACCCTCAGAGCAGTGGGTCGATCAAACAGGCGTGGGAATAAATTGTTAGTCTTGTTTAGCTCTAGGTAGGAGTAGGAGGGGAACTGAGATGCCCTCTGTCTGGGTAAAGATAACTCCCATCTCTACTAAGTTTGAGAAATCCAATTGTTATCCCTAGTATCACATTTGTAGCAATATAGCAATACATAAGCATATTACAAATGTATTGGCATTTCACTGAATTCGTGATTACTTTCTCCCAAAGAGCCTCATTTTGGGTTTAAAAAAAAAAGTTCATCTAAACACATGACAGGTACTTGCTATTTTTTTGTATGAATGAATCATTTCATGATTTGGGGCTAGGAGCAGAGTTATTCTACTAACTGATTTTTAACTTTTTTTGTTCTCTCCTTCATTATTCTCGATTTTTCAGGCTGAAGTCTGTAAGCCTGGGGACACCTTCAGTAGTAATCTCCAAATGTAAGTAAGTGAAACGTGGTCGGCCTTCAAACACTTTTTGTTCTTTTTGTTTTGATTTAACCATCAGTAAATGTCAGTTGGTAGGAAATGTGTGATTCCTGTTTATTTTATTTAACAGTCCATCTAATTACCTATCATGGAGTGAAAGAAGTGTCCAAAAATTATGACACAAGAAATAAACATTTAGTGACTCTTTAAACTTGTTTCTCTGAATTTTCTTTTACTCTTTTCAGGTCATAACTATTGATATTTCTCCTGTAGTTTTCTTTCAGTTTTCATAGTAAAACAGCTTGTGGTGATAATATAAAGAGTTCTCATTCTTATAAGTGATTTTGTCGGTGATAGTAAAATCACATTTATTTTGAACTCTCGATGACAGATAATAAATTGGCTAGCTGTGATTCATTGGCTCTATTTCTCACATCTCAGCTTTTACCTCAAAGTGACTGAATTCTGGAGAGTGCGGTCAGCCGCAGATGTAGTCACTCCCCAAGCAGGCAGTCTCCACCGAGCGAAAGCCTCGCCTTTCTTTGTGTTTCCTGATAAGGGTATTTCTGAAGATAGTGGGCAAGAGGGTTACTCTTTGAAGAATTTTTACCTGGGGGCCAGAAATTTAAACTCGCACCGTGGCACACAGTCAGCCTGACGCAGCGCTCTCAAACCTTTCATCCTGTAGTTCTCCATTCTTATTTGTCTTCTCAAGTGGGTCCAAGCTTAGAGACTGTAACCGAGGTTCAGGAGCCAACCAGCAGATCAAAGAATCCACCAAATCTCCTCTGAATACCCTGAATACCGACAGTGGAACAGCTTCAGGCAGCCTTTTGATCTTTGTCTCAGCCCAGTAGTGCCACGTGTAGCCCAGCCTACTTGCTGGCACTGGGGAAGCCGCCTCTGGGTCTATCTAATATTCTGCTTCACCCTGTGCTCCTGGGGCTGAGTGTGTTTTGCTAGCAGCCAGCAAGGCACCCCTCATTCTCCTCCCTTACTCACCTGAATGGGAACCATTCCCCTTCCTGAAGACAAACTCATCCTGTGTGATTTCCCCATGGTCCTGAGCTAAGAGAACCCTGATGAGGTGCCCTGTTAAGGACAATGTTTTCCCTCCCAGCTTCAGGCCCAGGCCGGTCACCCAGCAGCACAAGTCCCATTTCTCATGGCTGTTACTCACCTGAGCCGGGAACGCTATCTGGCCAACATATCTGGAAAATGATACAACTCATATTAAGAAAGAGCAAAAGGCTTTCTTCTCTGTTCAGGTAAATTTAAGTCTGAAATGAAAGACCCCTAAGCATGCTTGCATTTTTTCTCAATTATTTTCCCTTTGGCTGTTTTTATACTCTAGAATGCAACTACTTCCTATTTAAGAAAAATCAGCATAAATTAGACTGAACTAATAAAACATAAAAGAGATAGTGATTACTTAAATAAGCAAGTAATTTGTTCTAGGATCCCTTTAAATATTCGATGCATTTTAAATATTATGTGTGTCATGAAATTCAGTTCATACATTAACTCTTGTGTAAAACAAAATACCTTTATGTGGCCATGTATCCGTTGTGAAAAACAAAATCTCTTTTCCCAACAGGTTTATGCCAGGTTGGATGGGGATTTAGGAGGAGCCTGCTCAACAGCCACCCTAACTCAACATAAACTTTCCAAAATAGATTAGTTGAGAGAGATTTTTTTGCCAACATGCATTTTAATAACTTTTTTCCACTTTATCATTCAGCTCTGACCACCCCCCATTCAGAGTTTGTGCCTTGAGGCTTTGCCAGCAGGGTTTGGAATACTTACATTAAACTAAATTTAAGAGCAAAGGTGCTCCTGCTGATAATGTTCTCAGATCAGAGGAGAGCAAAATGAAGGAACTGGCAGTTGAAACTTTAATGGTAGAAAGTACTGACTCAGATTTTGAAAAAAAAATCATAGCTCATATGTGTGACATGTTCCTCTCCATGTATTATAACCTTTGCATTTGATTTCATTAGATGCCCATATTTTCTAGCAAAAATCATCTAACCCAAGTAAACATCAAAAAGGATAGATTTTATATCACATACTGGTAGCCCAACTTTTGAGGGGAGATTATACATACCTTGATAGGATCTGTTGGCTGGCTGAGAGCTCTGGGGCTCAGTCCCTCTGTCTGTTGACAAGTGGCTGGGTCTTCCTAGTATTTGGAGAAATTCCAAGTATTATTTCCTCATTTTGAAGCTCCTTGGCGATCCCTTCGAACACCCCTGCTACAATGCAGACAGCACCCCTGCCCCAATGCCCTTGGTAAACACGCTGGGTCTCTCAAAGCAGAGTCTTAGTTCATAGAGGATGGAATGCCCTGACTGAAACCGACACAGTCATTATTTTCTTCTCTCCCTTTGGAAATCTAGTAGGGACAGATAAGGATTAAGAACTAAGATGTCCCAGCTTTGCTACGTAACATCAGGGGACTCTGGAATGTAGTCCTCACAGCTTCTCTGAAATAGGCTCCTGGGAGGTAGGTTTAGGGAGCCTTTGCTGCCCCTTCAAACCTGCGTGAGATCTAACTCTGTGTTGGTGCTGACTTCTCACCACATGCTGTACATAATGTTGCCATTTAGTAAGTTCTGGTTATCCAAGTAACTCAACTAGTTATATAACATCTGATCAGAAAAATCGATTTCTTTTAAATTACAAAAGAATTAAGTTATAATTCTAATGTTTGTTCTGGAGGAGGGGACTAACATTTCCTCTTTAGAATGTGTGCTTTAAAACTGTAACTATGTAAAAGTAAGGGGACATTCTGTTTTATAGATCATATCATGCCCTGAAAACCTGGATAATATTAGGATTCTATTATATCTAAAACATGACAGTGATCTGCATGAGAATTTTTTCTTTAATTATGCAAAAAATTATTTTCAGGCCATTTTAGTCATCTTTGATTCAGAACCTGTCTATTCCAACACTGTATTTCAAAAGAGTTTCCCTTAAATCTTACTGCTTTTCCAATCCCCCACCCCACCCCCACTCCACCTCACCCCCTACTCCCCTCCCTCCACGTGGGCTTTGTAGCTCTAGAGGAATATCACATCTCAGTTGTCCACAGCTGGCTCTCCCTTAGGTCTGACCATGTCTCTCCACCCCTACTCTACCTAAACCACCAGCCTTTTTCATCCAGATTTCACAGCGGCCTCCCATCTGGCCTCTCTGCTGTCTGCCGTTCCTCCCCCTACAGTCGAAGCTCAAAAGAGAAACCGGAGTGATCCTTTCAAGGTAGAAGACAGATTATGTCACTTCTGTGCCCCAAATCCTCCAATGGATTCTTACCTCAATCAGAGTAATTTCACAATTTTTAGAGTAATCCTCAAGACCTTCTACCATTGGAACACCATCAGATTTCTCCTTACCTTCTTTGACTTCATCTCCTGCTCTTATTTGTCACTTCACTACTGATGAGCATTTGGGTAATTTTTAGTTCCCTGCTTTTTTTTTTTTTTTGGCTATAGATCGTATAATCATCTAATCCTCTATAAATTTTGCTTATTTGTATATTGTCTATTTTTCCTCCACATTCACTCCTGTAATGTAAATTCTGTGAGGTCAGAAATTTTTGTCTTCTTGTTCATTGCTGTATCATCAGCATCTAGAACAGTAGCTGGCACTAAGTACTAGTTCAATAAATATCTATTGCCTATACTCAAGACCCAGGTTGATGCTGCTTTAACCTAGGTTACATGGGTAGTAAAATGCTGGAGGCAAGTGATTTTAAACCTAAAACAAGCCTTCCAGGTGCTTGGTGAGGCCAAGGGTGAAGATCAAAACTAGTGGACATAGGGGTGGTGGGATCAGGAGGCTCCGGCATTTTTGATGGCTCTCTATTTAACTGTAAAAGTGTGGGTCCTTTTGCATCTGAAAGCCCTGGTAACATCTGACATTTTTCCCATTCTGAGGCACAGACATTATATCCATACTTCGTTAGTGCAAGTTTTAGATAACTTGATTTTATAGACTACCTCTGTTATTTTATTGCTTACTTACCCTCTCCACTGACACATTGCATTTCTTAAAGATGGCCACAACACGTCTCCCTCCTCACATTCTTTTCTTGCACTGTAACTTGATGCTCTCCCATCGATAGGTGGGTCTATGTTCATTAGCCTTGAATGTTGACTGGCCGGCTGTTGATGCTATGTACTTCCAAGGCCAGGTCCAGAAAGGGGATACAGCTTTCACCTGGCTTTTCTTCAGGATACTTGTGGTCAGAGCACTCAACTGCCACAAAAGAAGTCTGAGGCTGCCTTGCTGTGTGGACGCCCATGCCATATGAGGCAGCCACATGCATGTGTTCTAGCAGACAAGCCCAGCTGGGGTACCAGCTAATAACCAGCATCAACTACCAGATATGTAAGACACTTAAACAGATCATTCTTGACCCCTTACCATGGAGTTACCCCCAAATTCTGAGTCTTTCCAGAAGCCCCTGTCACTGTGAAATGAAGAGAAGCCATACCCTTTGTGCCCTGTCCTAATTCCTGACCTATGAAAAGTATGAAAGATAAAAAAAACGCTTATTGTTTTAAATAATCTTTTTTAAACCACAATGTTTTGAAGTAATTTGTTATACTGTTGTAGTTGTATGTCTCAGGAGAGTTGTATCTTTGTTGAGAATCATTCTTAGCATCTATCACTTCTGAGGGAAAGCCTTTATTTGTGACATGGTATTTGGAAAACAGCCAAGTATGAGCAATTTTCAATTACTGATTGTAACCAGAAATCAAAGCATGACATTGAAATCCATAACTGTCCTAAAGATCTTCACTCTTTAATTGCAACCATGTCTCTTAACAAAACTCATACCAAAGCTTCTGATTGTTTAAATCTTCATTTATCAGATTTTCTCCTTATGCACTTCATGGTGGAGATGTAGACAATAATAAATTGGCCAAAAGGCACATAGTATAAGGAAATAATGAGAGAAGCGACCTGCAGACTTCACTCACTGAGAATCATTCCTAAATAACAAGAGCGTTATACTCACAGAGATGTTCTCAGTTCAGATGAGAGACTATGGATCTCTAATAATGTGTTAAAAGATTCTTTGAAATATTTACTCTTTAAAATACCATTTCTGTTTTTGTAGTCTGAAATGACCACCCTGCCCCGACTACCCATGACGCGCCCAAAGCTTACATCCTTAGCCAGACAGAAGCTGCCATGTTCCCCCAGTGCTATTCCAAGGTATGTGACCCTGATTTTCATTTCTTTTCCTACAGAATCAATTTCTTGCTGTAAGAAATGTCAGTAGCACATCTCAGAAAATAAAATTATTTAAAGACGAAAGGATATTGTTTTATTCATAATATTCAAATCTGCTGTTTCAAAAGGATAGATGAATCTCATTCAAATATTAAAAATGTATCCATATAGCAAGCTAGTGCCCATTTGATCATTTTATTTCCCATTCCAATTATATCATGGTTCCTCTAAAGCTTTGGACATGTGTTCCCTTTCGAAAATGTGTGTGGGGAACTGCAAGCAGAAGCTTTAAGAAGGAAAGGTGTATGGCTTCTACTCCACAAGGGCCTGAGTGCTGATTTCTGTCTTGGAGGAAGGAAGACACAGTCCTATCACTAGGGTAGATTGGCGGGCGTGACTGAGCTCCTGAAATGATCCCAGGACCTGAAAATACATTGTCCAAACTGCTGCTGTCTGTGAACAGCTGCTGAACTCCTGGAATTGTTATTGGGAAACTGCAGCATGGAGAACTCGATGTGTTTTGTCATAATTGTAAATATTAACTAAGATTGTGTTATTTAGAAATTGCCATTTATAGTTTTACTGATTCTTAGTACTTCAAATATTATTTATCAGTATGAGCAATCTGCATATATAGATTTGATTTTCTTTATATGTGTACTTTACAATTCCTTCATTGCCCCAGAACAAAATAAATACATTCAGCTAGACTGACATAAAAGTTCTCTAATAATAGCAAATAAAATATTCTTTAAAAATTTTTTGAAAAGAGAGTGTTTTTAGTAGATGCATAATTCTAGTATATATTTCTTATTTTCCATTTTACTTTTGAATAATGAAATGTTCACAAAATCTGAAAAAGCTTATCCTTCTTGTCTTTTTTAATGATTGAGATTCCTTCTTTCTTTCCAACATGAGCAAAAATATAGCCCAATCTCACAATCTTAAAAATCAGATGTATTTTAAAGAAAACTTCATCTTGTATTTTATTGAAGAAAAATATTTTTATCATAACCATTTAAGGCAAAGTTTCTATTAACATATTCCATAAGCTACTGAATAAAAATAGATACTTGTTTAGTCACATAATACCATTGTTGTGAGATGTTAATGGTAGGCTTATTTTTAAAGATCAAGATGGTGTGAAGAATGAATATATTACATGTAAGAAACATTTCTCAGTAAATTTTTCTTGTAATCATTTTGCACCTTGAACTTTTAATAATAATTTGAGTTTTATGTTTGATAAAATAAAAACACTCAAACAGCATTTCAAAACAAAATTTGATGGTGTTTGGAACAAATTTTCACATTTGTATCAAATAGGTGTTCTTAGTTCCATATCCTGTGCCAAACTAAACATGGCTTCTGTAGTTGGAAATTTATATTGTGAAACAGCGTGAGTAGAATGGAACCTCTTGGAAGATTTGAGGAGAAAATTTATTTAAGAATTTGAATTATTTTAATGTGTTGCTGTTTTATTTGTTTGTGCATGGAGTTTAATATTCTTCCCTATCTCTTCCCATTCAAGAAAAGTACAATTTTGAAGTTATTAATCAACAATCTAATTCTACACCTATTGTAAAACATTTACTCTCTATGGTATTATACTCAGAAAATTTTTGTTCTCCTGGTGGCATTTTATATATTTGGTAGCTTTTCAACTTGATAAGCCAATGCTTTATAATTTCTTTCCATTTCATTTAGGTCTCAATTGATCAAAGAAAAAGATGACATAGATCATTATCTGGATATGAATTTCAAAGGATTGTCAAAAGAGGAGGTTGCTGCGTAAGTATAACCTCTTAAAGGTACTTTAATATAAAGTTTGTTTCTTTGTCTTGATTCTTCAATGAAATTTCACTTTTTCCTGTGCAATACACTTTTTCATTGGAATATGGCATTTAAAAATTAAAACTCATATTAAATAGTGATAAGTCATGTCTATTGAATTTACATATATCCAAGGCTTTTATTTTATAGCTTTTAAAATTGTCATATTTACCAAGATATTACACTATCACATTTACAATATTTTATTAAGTCTGTGCCATTAATTGCTTATTAATTTCTATTTTAAAGTGTATTTTTTGCTTCATTGGTAGAGAAAAAAGCTTTAAGAGAAAGATTTATATATCGTTTTTCTGGTGGTTTAAAGAAAATCCCTTATTAATGTATTTTCTTTCCCCTACCAAGAGCTCACAAAATGAATTAATGACTATTATTTGTTAATTTAAGCATAATTGGTTAATTTTGGCATAAATGGTTAATTTAAGAATAATTCTAAATTGGATTTTTTTTTGAGAGGGCATCTCTCATATTTATTGATCAAATGGTTGTTAAAAACAATAGAATTCTGTATAGGGGAGTCAATGCTCAATGTACAATCATTAATCCATCTCAAGCCTAATTCTCATCAGTCTCCAATCTTCTGAAGCATAACGAACAAGTTCTTACATGGTGAACAAATTCTTACGTAGTGAATAAATTCTTACATGGTGAACAGTACAAGGGCAGTCATCACAGAAACTTTCGGTTTTGATCACGCATTATGAACTATAAACAATCAGGTGAAATATGAATATTCGTTTGATTTTTATACATGATTTAAATGTGGATCCCACATTTCTCCCTTTATTATTATTACTATTTTTATTTTTAATAAAATGCTGAAGTGGTAGGTAGATGCAAGATAAAGGTAGAAAACATAGTTTAGTGCTGTAAGAAAGCAAATGTAGATGATCAGATGTGTGCCTATAGACTAAGTATTAATCCAAGCTAGACAAGGG